ATAGAAAATGATAGTTCACTTCTAGTGATATACAAATAGAGGGTGGGCAAAAGTAGGTTTACAGCTGTTCGTGTGGGAAATAATACAATAAATAATAGTACAAGAATAAACACTTGTGTTTTACGTACTCACAACTGTAAACCTACTTTTGCCCCACCCTGTATAAGTTTGTATAAGAACATTTGGCTTCTTTGTTTCATTCTGGAGGTTCAATGAAGTAGTTTGTATTTTGGGGTTTTTTGGGGTTTTTTTTTTTAATTGATTTCAGAAAGAGAGGAAGGGAGAGGGAGAGAAACATCAATGATGAGTCACTGATCGGCTGTCTCCTGCACGCCCCCTGCTGGGGATCGTGCCCGCCACAGCTGAGCCACGCCAACTGGGCGAAATAGATTATTTTTTGAAGCTAGTTACATTTATAATAATCAGTATAAGCTGGTAGTTTTATAAATTATGCTTTAATTTTTCAGTAAAATATGTATATACATTTGAAGTAATAAAAATATTCATTTACTTACTATTTCTTAGTAACCGTTTTTATGATTCTCTGCCTTGGCAAATCAATAAAATTTAGGGTCTTTTTCTCAGCTTGAAAGTATACTGTATTGTACTATGTTTGAAATGAATGACCCTCTTTATTTGCTTCCATAATATAAACTATTTTGTAAAGCCAGGTGGAGAAGAAACTAATACGTTCTTTGTGACAGGCACTAGGATATGTAATTTATAGATTCTGTCTTGGTTTGTTTGGTCTCTAACCCTTCTGATCCACAAAATCCTAGCAACATTTTAAGTGTCCCCCTGTAACTGTAGAAACAAAACTTCTTCTTACCACATTTTAAATATCCGAAGTTCATTTCTACGTCTGTGGCTTGGTTCGGAAATTAGAGGATTTCGTTTCCTTCCCCTGGCTAAATTCCTGAATTAATCCTTTTATTCTGCTTACATAGTTGCTAAGGCCAAGTTTCTCTCCAAGTTCTGCTTTTCTCACCATGTTTATTTGTCGGGGGTTGGGGTGAGGGGGTGAGGAGGCAACGTAAGTGTATTTTATTGCCCAGCAACCTACAAGTATAAGGACAGGGTAGGGTCCTTAAAGAAAAACTCAGACCAGAGATATTTCACTGGAAATACTAAAGTAAGTAAAAGCAGTAGCCACCTGGGACAGGATTAATACATGTGTTTACAACAATTTTTGTTCAGCCTTATTTGTTTTTTTGTATAATAAGGCCTCTCTCTAGAATATCAGCACCACAGGAGAGATTCTTTTGCCTGTTTTGTCCTCTGACATGCTGTAATCTGCGCCTGGCACAGTGATTTGTTGATTAATCGAACCAGTGCTTGAGTGAGTGAATGAGTGAATGAATGAATGACAGATTTCACTGTCAGTTTCTGTTCTTTTACTTTATTATATTTATTATATTTATTTTACTGAACTTTTGGGTTGATTTTCTATTAAATAGTGAGGGAAGAACTAGCACTAAAATGTGTTGTTTCTAAATTATTCTAATTCTTGATTTTTAAAAATGCTATTTTGGAAACTTTTTTTCCTGTAGGGGAATTTTTTTTTCAAATTATGAAGTTAATTATCTGTTATGGACAAGGTGAAAGCATTTATGTCTCTGTAGTACAGTGACACCTATATACCTTTACTGCTCGTGGTTCTTTTTTAGAAAAATCAACTTATGCATTTGAAAAATACTTTTTTTGTCTTTTAGTTTCATAGAATATACATTTAGGGAAGTTTTGGTCAGGTATATTTGAGGAATATATGAAGCAAGGTTTGTTTCCTTCTTATAGGTTTGTGTAATGTCTCACGATAGTTTGGGGTTATTAATGAATAGATTTATATAATTTAGCTTAAGTTGTTTTAAAGAAATTTTAAAATGTGTTAGTTTTTTAAGCAATGCTTTTCCTTAAAAGAAGTATTATGAGAAAGAGGGTAACTTGCATGCAAGTCAGAATTCTCCATTTTAATAATAAACACAAAATTTTTTAAGTAGTTCTTCTAGAACAGTGGTTCTCAAAGTTTTGGTTTTGGGAACCCTTTACACTCTTAAAAATTATTGAAGACTTTCAAGAGCTTTTGTTTATATAGGTTGTGTCTGTCTATATTTACTGTGTTAGAAATAAAAATGGATAGAATTTAAAAATATTTCTTAATTTACTTAAAAATAGCAATAGACCATCACATGTTAGTCTAAATAACATTTTTAAAATTTTAAAATGTATTTGCAGAATAAGTTTTAGTAAGAAGAATGGTATTGTTTTACATTTTTTGCAAATCTCTCTGATGCCTGGCTTAGTAGGAAACTGGATTCTTACATCTGCTTCTGTTTAATATGTTTCAATATACCATGTTATGTATCCACTGGAAAACTCAACTGTATACTAGTGAGAGAATGTGAGTAAAAAAGGCAAATAATATCTTAATATTACATGAACATAGCTTTCATCTCACAGGCCCCCTGAAAAGGCCTTTTGAGAACTACTGCTCCAGAGCCAGTGGGATGGGAGAGTGAATAGTAGTGGGGTGGAGACTTTGCTTTCCTTTTATATATTTCTATGTCATATTTGAATTTTTTATAATGAGCAAAATCCTTTTGTCACGTTAAAACACAAAAAAAGAAAATAAAAAGATGTGGAGGGGGTAGATGATTACATCCCAAAAGAAGTTTATTTTTTGTTTTAAAAACAATACAAATTCTCATTTTAGTTTCTAATGGTATAATCTCAGAAAATATCTGACTTTAAAATGTAGCTGATATGTTTTAAATAGAGTCCTATCCAAGATATCAACATGATAAAATAAATAATACCACTAGTTTATTCTCTTTTTGTCTGTTAGAGACCTGAACACACACCTCCAGTCTTTTGCTCCATAGTATACCTTTGCTTTTGACTCTCCATCAAAAGGCGCTGGCACAGATATGGGTATTCAGCCACATTTATCATTTCCTCTGCTAGTTCAAGTAAATCTGGGAACAGAAAGAACAGAGTTCCCAGCTGATGCTTAAATTGTCCTTGGACACCGTAGCTATCAGATTAGGAATTCTTGCTAATCCCTGCCTAATTAGATTTGGTCCCAAAATATCTGTTCTTATTTCTTCTGTTTTCTCACATATTGGAGAAATGGGAGTAATTCATAAATCTTTCACTTCAATTATTTTCTTTCTAATAAATGGCTCAAAATGCATTCAGGTAGGATTTTTAAAATCTGTGATCAGATTCCTTGTTTTCAAGGTAACAGAAATAACAAGAAGCTTTAAAACTTACAAAGAATTTAGAAAAATTGGCTCAGGTTAAAGAGTAATTTTCTTTATGAAAGAGCAAATATTAATCTAATAGTTTTCCAGTGAGGTATCAAAAATAGAGACATTAATAAGTAAATAAAATGCCTGCCTGTCTATTGAAACAAGGAAATAACCAGAGTAAAAACATTATATTTCATTTTCTGCCTATCTCTGAAAATTGACTACATTGAGTTATTTGATCTTTCAAATTTATTCCCCCATAGAAAGTGTATGTTTTTTCCAAGTATGCAAGTAATAACTACTCATTGCCTTAAAATAGAAAAATTTTAAAGATTTAGAAATATTAAGAATTAAAAAAAAGAAACAATTAAAAATTATCTTTAATCACGCCACCTTTGGATAGCTACAGTTAACATTCTAAAATATATTTGGATTAGATACAAACACCATTATCTTCTGTATACTTTCTATAGCCTGATTTTTCAGTTGACAAAACATCCTGGGTATTTTTTGCATGTCAGTTAATGTGGATCCATACTGTCATTTTTAATCACTCCATGCTATTTCCTTAGAAGTTTGTACTATTCTTATATATGTTAGGTATTTTCTACTACAATAAATAGTGCTTTAGTAAACATATCTGTTCTTTCATATTTGCGTAAGTATCTGATTAGTTCCTTAGGGTGAAGACTTAGCTGTCAGACTGCCGGGTAAATGAGGCATCCACTTTTTCCCCAAAAAACTTTTTAATAAAATTGCCAACTTCCTCTTTAGTTGGGTCGTACCCAATTTATACTCCCCTTTCCCCATTCCTAAACCATTCTTGAATCTAATGGTTAAAAAGAATCATTTTTACTTTGGCTTTCATTTCTTTGAATACTTCTGAGGCTGATTTGACATCTTTTCTCTATGAGTTCCCTGTTCATGTACTTTGCCTGTTTTTCTGTTGGATTGTTATCCGAGTGATCAATGAATGTTCAGATCAATGAAGTCTCTTTGTCTTTGTAAAGGGCATCTACTGTTTATTGTATTTGATGAATTGTTTTCTTTTCTGTGCATTTAAGAATTATTGCCCAGCCAGGGTGGTTCAGTGGTTAAGCATCAGCCCATGTACTGAGAGGTCGCCAGCTTGAGTCCCGGTCAGGGCACATGCCCAGGTTTCGAGCTCAGTCCCCAGTGGGGGCGTGCAGGAGGCAGCCGATCAATGTTGATGTTTCTCTCTCATCGATGTTTCTCTCTCTCTCTCCCTCTCCCTTCCTCTCTCTCTAAAAATCAATAAAAACATTTTTTAAAAAGAATTATAAGATACTATAATGATAATAATTATAACATTATAATATAATTATCTCATAAGGATTATAAGAAACTCTAGAGACTAAGTGGTATTAAGGCTCCAGGCTTTTTGACTTAGATTTTCCTCTTTGTATAGGGCCATCGGAGAGGTGAGCAGGTATTCTCATGTAAGGCTAATTATGTATAGATGTACCAGTGTCATAAAGTTACAAACATTTTTTTTAAAACTTGTGTGATCCCTGACTCCTTCTGGAGCAGTTCAGCATCACATCAATACGAGGGGCCGACGGAACCCCGGCTGAGATCTCTGTGACTGGTGCTGCTTGCCCTTGTTCTCCCCAGACCTCGGCGTTTTCCCGTCGCTCACTGTGTCTGCTGCGACCTGTGTCATCTCACCCCCATGCCCATCCCCATGAGAAATGGCTTGTCTAACCCTGGGTTGTATTTCCGTTTATTCAGAGTTCCCACGTACTGGAGAGGACTGCTTCCTCCGGCACTGAGCCCTCCGTAAGCCGGCAGTTGCTGGAACCGGAGCCGGTCCCCATCTCCAAGGTCAGTGATGGGCTGCGGTGCTTTCACGGGTGGCCTGCCCCTGCCCTGAGCCAGCTGCACTGTAAATAACTTGCACCGGACCCCCTGGCAGCTGAGATGCCCCCTGTCGGGCTGCTCTTGCACTTTCTCTGCCTGCAGTATGTAGGGTTTCTCTGCCCTGTGTAAGGAGGGAAGACGTGAAGGTATGTTTTGCAGGGTTTAAATACTGAAGTCCAGCATTCTCTTTATGTTATGGGGCAAGGACAAGAGAAACGGTTGTCATTCCATGTAGGAAAGATGAGAAAATATTTCTGTACCAAACTAATACCAAAAAAAAAATAACTGGATCTGGTATTAATAACAAAAATAGCTACCATTATTACCCATGCACTGCATACCAGGCACTGTGCTAAGTGCTGAAGTATATTTTCCCATTTAATCTTATGAACAGCTTTATGCAGTGTAGGTATTTATTTCATTTTACAAATATGGAAACTGAGAGTTTGTAACTTGCCCAAAGTTAAAAAACAAAACAAAAAAAGGCTGCTAAGGAGCAGAGCTGGGATTCAGACGTCAGCTTGTTTAAGCCGAACCCCACCTGCAGGCCGAACGGCAGCCCCCGGCCGGGCTGTTGTGCAGAGTCCCATGTCCTTCCTACATCTGGCCCTTCCGGCAGTGAGCTGAGGACCCTGCAGATTATTAAGACCTTTTCCATCTCATTGAAGCCAAGGTTCCCTCCCTGTCAGCCTTCTCTTCCTGTGACTAGGGAAATATTTGAATTTATTTTTGTCTAAAATGCAAAAATCATAAAGAAAAGTCAAGGAGATGTCATCCTACTCATCCCTGTCCCAGCCTGACTCTGGGGCATTTTCAGTGGGCTGGCTCCCCTATTGAGAAACTCAGAAAACTGAATGCCTGAGGATTTTGAAATCAATATAAAAATAGCACTTTATTTCCTAAACAGTTCAACTTCCAAATATGTATAACAATCCATCCACTTTCCTTGTCCTTATAAACAAAATCCTTGAAGAAAAGACCTCTCTGTGACCCTAGTGCTGTGGAGTGTGTGCACTGTACCTCTTTATATTTTGAAGCTACTACCAGCTATTGTGCTAAGTTTATTCTATCAGACAGGAGTAGGCTGCTAAACTAAGGAAAGGGGGAATTATTAAATTATAAAAAATTAAAAACTGGTTTCTATTGGAATGGCAAGTAGAGAATGTCTACTTGGTAAACATAACTTCTCTGTGACCCTAGTGCTGTGGAGTGTGTGCACTGTACCTCTTTATATTTTGAAGCTACTACCAGCTATTGTGCTAAGTTTATTCTATCAGACAGGAGTAGGCTGCTAAACTAAGGAAAGGGGGAATTATTAAATTATAAAAAATTAAAAACTGGTTTCTATTGGAATGGCAAGTAGAGAATGTCTACTTGGTAAACATAACTTGGTAAACATAGAGAATGTCTACTTGGTAAACATAACCTCTCTGTGACCCTAGTGCTGTGGAGTGTGTGCACTGTACCTCTTTATATTTTGAAGCTACTACCAGCTATTGTGCTAAGTTTATTCTATCAGACAGGAGTAGGCTGCTAAACTAAGGAAAGGGGGAATTATTAAATTATAAAAAATTAAAAACTGGTTTCTATTGGAATGGCAAGTAGAGAATGTCTACTTGGTAAACATAACTTGGTAAACATAGAGAATGTCTACTTGGTAAACATAACCTCTCTGTGACCCTAGTGCTGTGGAGTGTGTGCACTGTACCTCTTTATATTTTGAAGCTACTACCAGCTATTGTGCTAAGTTTATTCTATCAGACAGGAGTAGGCTGCTAAACTAAGGAAAGGGGGAATTATTAAATTATAAAAAATTAAAAACTGGTTTCTATTGGAATGGCAAGTAGAGAATGTCTACTTGGTAAACATAACTTGGTAAACATAGAGAATGTCTACTTGGTAAACATAACCTCTCTGTGACCCTAGTGCTGTGGAGTGTGTGCACTGTACCTCTTTATATTTTGAAGCTACTACCAGCTATTGTGCTAAGTTTATTCTATCAGACAGGAGTAGGCTGCTAAACTAAGGAAAGGGGGAATTATTAAATTATAAAAAATTAAAAACTGGTTTCTATTGGAATGGCAAGTAGAGAATGTCTACTTGGTAAACATAACTTGGTAAACATAGAGAATGTCTACTTGGTAAACATAACCTCTCTGTGACCCTAGTGCTGTGGAGTGTGTGCACTGTACCTCTTTATATTTTGAAGCTACTACCAGCTATTGTGCTAAGTTTATTCTATCAGACAGGAGTAGGCTGCTAAACTAAGGAAAGGGGGAATTATTAAATTATAAAAAATTAAAAACTGGTTTCTATTGGAATGGCAAGTAGAGAATGTCTACTTGGTAAACATAACTTGGTAAACATAGAGAATGTCTACTTGGTAAACATAACCTCTCTGTGACCCTAGTGCTGTGGAGTGTGTGCACTGTACCTCTTTATATTTTGAAGCTACTACCAGCTATTGTGCTAAGTTTATTCTATCAGACAGGAGTAGGCTGCTAAACTAAGGAAAGGGGGAATTATTAAATTATAAAAAATTAAAAACTGGTTTCTATTGGAATGGCAAGTAGAGAATGTCTACTTGGTAAACATAACTTGGTAAACATAGAGAATGTCTACTTGGTAAACATAACCTCTCTGTGACCCTAGTGCTGTGGAGTGTGTGCACTGTACCTCTTTATATTTTGAAGCTACTACCAGCTATTGTGCTAAGTTTATTCTATCAGACAGGAGTAGGCTGCTAAACTAAGGAAAGGGGGAATTATTAAATTATAAAAAATTAAAAACTGGTTTCTATTGGAATGGCAAGTAGAGAATGTCTACTTGGTAAACATAACTTGGTAAACATAGAGAATGTCTACTTGGTAAACATAACCTCTCTGTGACCCTAGTGCTGTGGAGTGTGTGCACTGTACCTCTTTATATTTTGAAGCTACTACCAGCTATTGTGCTAAGTTTATTCTATCAGACAGGAGTAGGCTGCTAAACTAAGGAAAGGGGGAATTATTAAATTATAAAAAATTAAAAACTGGTTTCTATTGGAATGGCAAGTAGAGAATGTCTACTTGGTAAACATAACTAGTGATCTGTTTGAACCATCAGTTTTTTCTTATAGGCAGCTAAAGGAGAGAGAAGAGAAAAAATAAATATAAGGGCAGAGGAAAGGGCAGCTATTTATTGAACACCCACCTTGAGCCAGGCACTGGACTAGTGGATATATTTTCTCACTTGGTCGGCACCCAGCTCGATGAAGTGAGTACTGATAATTCTCATCTTATAGGTAGGAAATGGAGACTGGGAGTAGTTGTCCAGTGTCAGATAGCTGGGAAGCGTGTGACAGAGCAGAGGGGAACAGAGGTCATGGTAGTGAGATGATGCTCAGAGAAAGGAAGGCTTGGAGAACAATTCACAAACAGAAGGGAGAGGTGCTGGCATTAAAACAACTGGGGAGCACGCAAGACTTGCTCTGGCCCCTCCCCTCCCACCAGCTACGTCCACCTGCACACAGTTCCCCACAGTGGCCATGCTCTTGCCTTCACAGCTGGGGGTCTGCTCCTGCCAGGCCTTCCTGGAAGCTCCCTGCTCCCCTGCCCTTCCTTGACCTGGTTAAAACTCGAGCTCTTCCTTCAAGTGAGCCTCACAGGAACCCATTCTCAAATGCTGCTCACCTCCCTACCCGAGGCACCCTCCCACCCTCTGCCCCAGAGCATCTGGTGTAGCCTGTCCTGTCGTTACACATTCATTTCTTTATTTCACCTTTTTTATGTCAGGTTCCCTAGAAGGACATCCTGATGCTGGGTGCTTGTGATTTGCTGAGGGAGAGCCCTCAGGGGAAAGGGGTGAAGGAGGGGGTCAGGGCAGGTGTGGTGCTAAGCAAGAAGGATTTCAGCTGGAGTCCAGCATCAGCCTGATCCCTGGTGAGCTCCGGGGCATGAATTGGATCACAGAGTTGGTCTCACCCTGAGGCAAGCAGGACCTTTTGTTCCCTCAGTCCTTTGTGCCCCTTTGTCCTTCAGTCACTGAGAGCCATGGGGGAGGGAGATGCTGCAGCATAATTTCCCTGGCGTGAGGTCCCAGCCTGGTGAAAACAGCAATTCCCCCGGAGCCTTAGCAGTTCCCAGTGCTCACAGCAGCTGGGGCCTGAGTCCGCTGGCCTGATAAGGATCTGGATGGGGCACCAACAGCCTCCGCTTGCTGATACTGTCCATGAAACCAGAGGGTCCCATGCAATCTAGATACCAGAGTATCTCACCATTTTCCAGCCCCTTTGAAGGAAGGTGGGCTTCTGGTTGGTGGTGGAAGAACACTGTTTGAAGTACATATTGTCCTGTCTCAGGATTTGTTCAAATTCTTTGGTAGTTTCACCTCCTAAAGCATTTTCCACACACCCACCCACCCCCACATGCATGGGCAAAGAGTATGCCCTTGAGAAAAGAAATGTCTCTATTTTTTTTTTTTTCCAAATGAACAGAGTAGGGCTGTTATTAGGTTGCTCCCCATGTTTAGTTATTATTATTAGATCAAAAGTATTACTAAACTCTCTATAATAGCAAAAATGTTTATATATCTGACTAGAGTCCAGTACTGACATGATCACATTAGGGGTTTTGGCTCTGTTTCTGTTATAAGTCAACCTATGAAAATTGAAGACTTTTAATATCAATTGAAATTATGAAAAAAGTTCTTAATCAATTTTCAGAGAGTAATTTTAGCTTTCTTAAGCTAGACCTGGGGTACTAAGCAGAGATAGGTTGTGTTAAATACAGAACTGGGCTCTTTCATTTCTTCCACACCTTGGATATATCAGCAGCAGCAGCATTTATAATTGAAATAGGGAGAATGTTGTTTGCTCTGCCTTTATCTTTGCATCTTTGTCAGTTTGACAGCTTATTTAACTATAGGAACTACACTAGGATTCTTCTCAATTTCCTTTGCTGGGTGTAGTAATTCCGCATCAGAGCAAATGGAATTATTTGTTCAGAGCTGCCTCATTTATAATTAAGGAATACATTTTAACTTTTCACCTTTTCTATCCTGTCACTTTCTGTTTTTCTCTTCAGTTAAACTCCCAAAGAAATAAAAACGGACTGTGATAGAAATCGGTAGCCACAGCCCCACAGTGACAAGCTGTTAGTACATCCTGAGTCTCATTTGGAAAAAATTCAACACACATCTGTACTTATGAAATGTTTCCATTTCCACTAGTAATTCAGAGTATTCGTAATACACACACACACACACAAAATCAGTCAAAGATGAACACTAGCCTTAAAATAAGATCTATCCAGTAACAACCATGCTATCCTTTTAGAGCTGCTATCCGTGGATGGGGCTACCAAAAATAGACATGTCATTAAAATAGCTGATAACCTTTCTAAGAACAGAGAGAGCACTAACAAAGACATTTAAACATGCATGGAGAGTTAGCCTTTTAGTTTCTTGACTATACCAAACTTTTAAAAAGAAATCAGTAGAAATCCATCATTTTTATGAAATCAAAATTTAGCATTCTTAACTACTTTTTTAGTGAGAGTGGAAAGCCAAAGATACTGTACTTTGTATAAGAACCTTCTTCTAAATTATTCATAAACTGTATTCACTTGTTGAATTGCAATTCACTATTAAAAATGAGAATGCAAGGGCACCCCACTTTGTTCTCTGGATAATAATGCCACCTGCACCTGTCTTGTCCAAAGAACATGGTATGCAGCCTGGAATTGTTTCATCAGAAACATTTTTTTTTAAATTGCTTAGTCTCATTAACAGCTTTGACCAGATCTGTCGCAGTTTCCGACAGTATTGTCTTCAAATAGAAAATCACTTTTTGGGTTGTTTTCTTACATAAAAGGAAATTTACAGATCCTTTCTCCCTTTTTTTAAAAAAACAGTTTTAGTAATGTATAACTTTATAGATCCTTTAAAGGGTTCTTAATGTTGCCAAATACAAACTAGTGGGTGTGCTCCTGTAAAGTATTAAGTTCATTCACCAGGCACCCCTCAGATGACAAAGAAGATGAAAACTGATATTGTTCTCAGGTTAGTTTTCCTGAGGGGTTGGGGGTATGTGGATGTTGCAGGGTTGGGCTTAGGGGAGATAGAAGCATGATGCTGGCTTCAGAGGGCTTTTTGGAAGCCAGGAGTGTCTCCCAGCCTCCACAATATTAGAATGAAACAATATTCAGCCACATCTCCTGAAAACATAACTTTCTGTGAAAATTCCACCCCATTTACACATATTTGGACTTGAACATAGATTTGATGTGACCATAGAACAAGCAGTTTCTAGGATGAAAGAAGAAATTTGGACTTTTAAAGTCTGAAATCTTCTGATGTTTAAATGTTGACAACTCTTTAAAAAATTGTAAACACCATAAATGAACAAAGCATGTCTCATGGAAGAGGAAACCATGATTTTGTCCATTTTTAACAGAGGAGGAAGATTGTGTGGGCTCCAGCATCCCAGATATCTGGTGCTTTTTCCGAGGCTCCCAAGGGTGTGTGTGTGTCTCAGGATGTGTGTCTTCAAAAGCATGGACTTCTTGGTGTGCATTTTATGTGCACTCTGAATGCACAGAGCCTCACTGAGAAGAAACAGATGCCCACAGCCCTGCTCTTCAGCTTAATAGGTTATGAGCCACTTAGACCACTGCAGCCTTTCCATTTCTGCACATAAAGCTGAGTCCACGCACTAATGGAACATTTGCCATCAAAACAGTCTTATTTCAAAACGTTAAAGGGCCTTTGTGCCCACAGATGTACTGTCTGGGAAAATGCATTTTAAACCTTTTGAGTACAGGCAATTGAAATTTCATTCTACCCCAACCTCCAACTCCATCTCGTGTCTGATGGCCCCACAGCCTTCTAGGTCTACCTGGAGCTTGTTTTAACTTCAGTTCTAAGTGCCTAGCTGGGTCTGATGTTGGAATTTGCTCCAGGATGCTGTTCATACTTCCAGTGGGTCTGGTGCTGCTTCAAAAGCAACTTTTACTTAAGAACCTGTTTTAAGTGTGTCCTCAAACACCAAGAAACATGTGATTCGCTTTTCTTCTTTTCTCTCAGGAAGCTGACAGCTGGGAAATTATAGAAGGGCTCAAAATAGGCCAGACCAATGTCCAGAGACCAGACAAACATGAAGGCTTTATGCTGAAGAAGAGAAAATGGCCCTTAAAAGGCTGGCACAAGGTAATGCTTTCATCACACTCCCCTTCAGGGCATCTTTGTAAGTAAAGGATCTGATTTGGTGTCATTAGGTGGGAAGCCAAGAGTATGGTTGTACGTGTAAGCTGGTTGTCAAGGCCTTGTTTTAACCATCTGGGCTGAATGCAGCCTGTTACACCTGTTTGAGTCTAAGGTCTGTAATATCTGTATGCAGGGGGAAAATTATTTTTTTTAATATTTTAAAGTAAATTTTTTTATATTTAAAATCCAGTTTGTACATATCGTTGTGTAGTCCGCTTTTTTCACTTAAATTAACATGAATATGTTTTTATGTTAAATATCCTTCTAAATAGATTTTTAAAAAATTCATGCAAGTGTTCCACTATTTTTAAACCAGTTCCCTATTGCTGGATATGTAGGATGTGTCTGATTCTTTACTGCTATGATGTTACGATGAACATCCATACACATGAATTTCTATGTAATGATTCCTAAAATTATTGTTACCAGTGCAAACTAAAGGTGGAAATTCACTGATCTTGGAAGTTTGGTTATTACTCTTTAAACTCTATGGTTTATTCTTTCCTCTTCCCTACCCCACATGCTTTTTCCATCCTTTTAGTTACAGAGAAAATATTTTGCACTCCATTGTTTGTTGCAGTGACCTGAGTAGCAAGATTCTGTGATGCCGAGGAGGCAGTTGTCCTCCATTTCAGAATCATGCCTTTGATAGACCAGTACCTTCCCTGAAACCACTGGAAGAACAGGTTCATCTACTTGTCACATCTGCTGATGGATTTCATCTCAGGGCAGACGGATTTATTGGCCCAGTGGTGGCTGCCCATTGGCCCAAAGCAAGGAGGTTATGGATTATAACATCTTTGAGGAATTTTTTCACTTTAAGGGAGAGACTGGGAATGTTACCCAACCCTCTGTCTCTGACGGTGGAATAAAACAGATCGAAGAGGCTCCGTCTGCTATTCCTTCTCATTTGCCGGAAACCTTGAACCCCTGGTATTCTCCCAATGCCAGGAATCTCTGTCTACCCTGGTCTTCTTGGAGCTTGGCCAGCTCGCCATACTCCTTCCTAGAACCACATTTTGCCTTTCGCCCTGACCTTACCACTTTGCAATTCCTCGAATCAGTGGCCTTGCTAATTCTTTCCCCGTGACCATCCTATAGGTTATCCCTGCTAAAATTCTTTCATAGATAGAAATGGGGAAAAAATGTCAAAGAAACAAATTTGATTTGAATTGCAAACTTTAGTTTAGCAGTCTCTTCCCATGTCTCAGCGAAACTGGCTGTGGTTCAACAACAGCTCTTTCTCAACCATGCCTTTGAACATTTTGCCACATAATTAGTGGGAGGCTCTCCCTCACATTCCCTTTTCTCCTTCTGTAGTGCCACCAGATGTTTGTTCAAGCATCAGCCCAGTTGACTGCCCAAGTTATGAGAGTTGAGTAATCAAGTGGTTTTTGACTGTAGAGACTCTTCCAGTGCTTACTTGTTGGCCCCCTCTGCCCCAGAACCTATAACAAGGGGGTCCCAGTGGCCTCGTGAATTCTGTGCAGGGTGTCCCCAGGCCTGATTCCCTGCTACCTCAGCAGCTAAGAAACTTCCCAGCAGAGTAATTTTCCAGCAACAGAAAGGCACCCTGCATTTAGGGACTAGAAGAGGGCACTGGACCCATTGTTTGCTTGGGTCCTGGGAGCTGTTTGTTCTTTTGTCAATTGCTGGTGGAAAGGAAATCAGCAGCAGAGAGTTCCTGAGTTTTTGTGGAGCAAAAGTGGCTACATTCATTTGAACTGGACCAGGAGAATCTTGAAGGAGACAAAAATTGCCCAAAATCTCTCTCTCTCTCTCTCTCTCTCATTTTAAACCCTTAATGTAGTTCAAAAATTATATTTATCTCTTTTACTGATGATAAAATGCAGGAATTTTGCTAAGTAGAGATGCAAGCATGTTGCTAAGGCTACTTCCTTTTTTTCTTTATTGTTGAAAGTATTACAGATGTCCCCCTTTTCCCCCCTTGAACTCCTCCATCGGGCATCCACCCCCACTCCCCAGGTCTTTCCCACACTGTTGTCTGTCCATAGGTCATGTAAATATGCATCTAAGCTCTTTGATTAATCTCTGCTTCTTAAACTGTCCAGATCATTATTACTCACAGATCCAGTCCACTGGCTTCTGTAACAGACATGTGCATTTTCAGGAGTTACCCATGGTACCCAGGGAAGTAAAGGAGTGAAAAATTCTCAAGCTCCTCACAAAATCTCTGTGACCTAACTCAGATTATTCTTATTTCTCATTTTCAAAAAAATTCCTAGTGTGATTCATTCAGAAAGTCTTAGCTGCAGGTCCTGCAATTCACCAACCCCACTCCAACAACCCCCATTAAGAAAAACCATGGTGAAAAGATTTCATCTCCACTGAATTATGTGTAAAAGAACCCAAGAGGTTAATAGTACAGAACTAGAGGTCAGCTCTAGCCAGTGTGGCTCAGTGGTTAGATCGTCGGACTGCCCAGACTGAACAGTCCTGGGTTTGATTCTGGCTGAGGGCACGTACCTCAGTGAAGGCTCGGTCCCTGACCCTGGTTGGGGCGCATGCAGAAGGCCACCAATCAGTGTGTCTCTCTCACATCGCTGTTTCTGTCTCTCCCTTGCACTCTCTTTGAAAAGCAATGGAAAAAGCATCGTCTGGTGAGATTAACAGAAAAGAACTAGAGCTCATATTTTGTGACCATTTAACGTGTCCGACTGTTGCCAGGTGCACTGAATCCAAATACATTAAAATGATAAATGCATTGTTTACTAAATGCCAAGCAACATTAACCCACACTTGTGAATGTTTTATATAATTCAAGATACAGTAACTGGGGTTGTTTGGTTCTTGCAGCGGTTTTTTGTCCTGGATAATGGAATGTTAAAGTATTCAAAGGCACCACTTGATGTAAGTAGCACACGAGGCATGTTTCAAAGATTGTAGAATAGTGCTTGAAGCGAGTCCACGCCCACAGCTGTGCACGCCTTGTGCCATAGTTCCCAGCTTTGTTCATTTCTGTGTCTGTAATTAACAAGCCACCAAGCTTCCATGCTACATGGAAGGTGTGTTTTGTGCTTCAGTTCAAACTAACCTAAAATCTCAAACTGGTGCATGAAGATTTAATTTAACTATTGTGATGCCTGTTATTCCAAACAAGCTTAAACCTAAAAGTAACACACTAATAAAAACCATCCTTTCTGTCTTGGAGAGAATACCCAAATAGGCTTTTTTCTGCATCTTAATAAACTATGCTTTATGTGCTTTTTTGAGATTTAAAGCAACCTTTGTTCTTGTCAGTGTCCTTTTAGTACCTATGTTATGAACTTCATTTCTATTTCATATCATACATCCCTTTATCTTGAAAATCCCAACTCACTAAAATTATTCCAGTTTATTTTTCTTCAATGTAAAAGTAATTGTTTGCATGCAAAACTGGAAAATGCCCTCTTTATCATTGTGCTGTAGGGGAAATAACAGATTTCAGTGTTGTTTTCATCTCTCCCATTGAGTCGCTGTGTGACCGGTCAGACGAGCGCCGCCAGGAAGCAGAGCTGGCTGGCTGCTCTGTGCTCTCTGGGCCCAGCTGCCCGGTTCTGCCCCTGCAGCTGTCTTCTAGCTGATTACTTGGGGACGTTCTGGGTTGTAGGTCAAAGATTGACCACAGTTATTTTAGGAACCATTAATGATATCTTTTTTGGGATATAAGTTAGGCAATCTAGAAATATGAAAAATTGACATTATATGTTATGCCAAAAATGAATAAGAGATGAATAGTCTTACGTACTGAAATTGGTGTGAAGTCACGGCAGCTTCAGCTATCCTCAGATTAAGGACCTTAACCTGAGAACCTTAACCATTTTCCCTTTGTAAAGGAGGTGTGGTTTTCCCTTTCTCATAGAGAAGTTAAAGATTACATTAAACTCACTTCAGTACAGAAACACATCAAATCATATATCCTTCCAGCCTATTTACTAGTCTTTCAATTTCAGATTCAAAAAGGGAAGGTCCATGGAAGCATTGATGTTGGACTCTCGGTCATGTCCATTAAAAAGAAGGCTCGGAGGATAGACCTTGACACAGAAGAGCATATCTATCACTTGAAGGTAAAGTTGCTTTTCAACAGTTTCTCTGCCGTTATCAGGGGAAATCACTCGCCTGTACCAGTGGTAAACAGAATATCGGTTTCACCATTACCTTCTCTTGTTCATTGTTTTAGGTGAAATCCCAGGACTGGTTTGATGCATGGGTCTCCAAACTGCGTCACCATCGACTGTATCGGCAGAATGAGATAGTGAGGTCACCAAGAGATGCTAGTTTTCACATATTTCCTTCAACCTCCACAGCTGAATCCTCACCAGCTGCTAATGTTTCTGTCGTGGATGGAAAGGTATGTCTTTGTAATATAATAATCAGCCCAGAAGTTGCTTGGAAAATTATGCAGACACATAACTGAGTCTCATTTGACCAGCCAGAAAGAGGTTTTCTTTGGAAACGAACCCCTCAGAAGACAATAGTGACATTTGGTATCAAAGTTAATCTCAAGTATGGATTCGATGGATATGTGGATCACCAAGAAAATTGACAGTTGCTTTTCCTTTCTATGAATGGACTACATCCTAATTTTATATGGCTTTTTAAGAATATTAAAGAAGTAGGGCAAACATTAATTAGCACCTAGAAATCAGTGTCTTCCTGGGTGGTAATAGAAGACTACAAAGTTTTGAAAATGAAACTTTTTTACCTTGAGATATAATATATATGTGACCCATGGAGAGACCAGTGAATTTCCCCATGAAGGTAAGACAAGTGGGCTAGAGAATGTGCCAATAATATGAGCAATAGCCCATTTGAGTAGCCCACTAGTCAGGCAATGTGTTAAGCATTTGACACTTATGCATCTCTAATCTTTAATATAGCTAAAGTTCAGAGACAGAAAATAATTTTTCCAGGTGTTACATAGCCATTAAACAGCTGAGCCAGGATCTGAATCCTCATTTCTCTGTTTCCGAAATCTGTGCCCTTTCCATTATACTGGGTACCAGATTACGGGAGGCTGAAGTTGTTCTTTGGACTGTCTTAAGAGTTCGTTTTCAATGTTGCTGAAAGACTAGAGGTGTTGCCTATTAAAAATCAAGTTTAAGACCACAGGCAGGGAGACAGCTGTTTGTGCTTTGGATTCGATAATTAAGTTTTCTGAACCATAGCCACATGGCCCTGCCCAGGGGTGTTCCAGCTTCCCACTTGGCACCTGGTAGTGAGAACAGAGACATCTGTGAGTAACTGGCTGCCACAAGGAGTTCGGTTCGAGAATGTTTCAGTGAAAATTCCCCTTTTTTCTATTTTCTTACAGAACATATATCCAAGTTTTTTTTGCAAAGCATTGAAATACCTCATGGAGTAAGGAGTAACTGCAAAACTAGTCAAATCAGATTAAATGAAATACTACTGTATTCAGTTTTTGTTATTTCGATGGAAATTACTCAAGTAATTTTGTTAAATCCCATTAGTTGTATTTCATAAGACTCTCAAACCTTCCTGGTTGTAGGCTTGCCAAGGACTGTTTAATCAGCCCTAGGAAGGGGATATTGGGTTAACCCTAATACTAAGCAGTTCTGAAATGAAGGGGAATGAACCAGGAGATCAGAGGTGTAGGAAATAGGACACTACTGGATGACCCAACAAGATGCTTAAGATAGTCCCTGAGTTTCTTTGGGCCCCCTGCCTTCCTCCTGCCTTCTCACCGTGGAACAGAATGAATCCCAGAGTTAGTCCAAATTAAACAAGAAATGTATCCCTGGTGGATATTTTAAAAACATAAATATTTAATCCTTTGATGGTTCCAGCTTCTGCCTGCATCGTTGGCACAGAGTGTTGATAAAAGATACATTCTTTTCATCCCTTTTGTTATTTATTCAATAACTTGGGTGATATCTGAGAACTGAGAGCTGAAACCAGATCCTCCCCACTGTTTGCCTTGGAACAAGAAAGCTTTTTAACTCTGGTTTTCATAGAAGATCTATTGCTCTAGTAACAAATGACATATTCTAAGATCCAACTCAGTGACAAATTCCCAATACATTTATCAAAATGCAGTAAAGTCTGAGAAGAGCTTTTTAACACTTTGCTTGCATTCTAAGTATCAAATCATGAGACTCCTGAATGTTAATTGGTTTGTGGCCCTGTGTGGGTAATAAATAAGTCTGGGTTGGCTAAGTGTGTGCATCCTTCACTTCAGAATGATTTAGAAGAGACACAACCAGTTGTAATTGAATATTAAAGTCAAATATGGAGTTTTAAAGTTGTTTCAGCTTTTTGGGAAAATAAGTTTCTGCTTTTTTTTCCCACTGAGCATTTACTGTACTCACTTTAGTATCTGTATAGTTCATACAACTTTATTTCCCATAAAATGCCTCCTTCAATGGAAAGTCTATCAGCTTTAAATAATAATAACTTGCTAAGATTACCTTTTGATAAACTATAATGTGCAATATGCATTCAAGGCATTTGCAATGTTACTTGCTGGTGGACAGTGGACAGTATTTAGGAATCATAGGTGGCTACCGAGACCTTGAGCTATCACGAGCATAGAGAGAGCTCTTGTAAGGGAAAGGCCTTCAATCATGCGTTGAGTCTGCAATAAGGACACTGTGGTGTCAGATACAACTTACTGAGTATTTTAAAATTATTGGTAATTTGAGTTGGCAGGTCCCTGTGAGTACAGGATATAACATGCTTGCGTGTTGTCCCCTCACTGTATAATGGAGATGGCAACTTGATGAGAGTGTTTATGAATTTTGGCTCCACTGAGCACGTGCCACACTTAGCCCAGAGGCTTCTCCCATGTTTTGATTGTACCCTTTCTTCCTTTTTTAATCTTCCTTTAAGAATACTTGTGTTTTTAAGTTACTTAAATATACTGTTTCTGCTTCACTTCATTTTTTTGTTTTGTAATTGTAGGTGCAACCAAATAGCTGCCCATGGCAGTCCCCCTTGCCATGCAGCAACAGCCTCCCTGCCACCTGCACGACTGGCCAGAGTAAAGTGGCAGCCTGGTTACAGGACTCGGAAGAAATGGATAGGTGTGCAGAAGGTTCGTTCTTGCCCAGTGCGGAGAGGTTGGGACTCCAGTCAATGCATTGTTACCAAATTCTCTTTTTTAAATATATCAAAATATTAAAAATTTAAGAAGTCATTTCTTCGTTCTAAGCAATTCAAACAGAATGGTTTCATGACCAGGTGACGCTGCTTCTGCTGGGCCAGGGAAACACTTTGAGAATCTTTAGTTTTGTTTAGTATAACATCTCTAATAGATTTTGAAGAAATCATGCATTGCTACATTGTTAGTGAGCTAAGTTATAGATAAGTATGTTCATCTGATTCTGTATTCCATCTTATTTTTCTGAACTTGACTTTGACTCCACCGAAATTCCAAGTAGCCACCTTGTAAACTATTTTAGGAGCAGGTAGACAGGTTCTTAATAGTGAAACCACACAACTGCTGAAGTTCCCTTGAGTGTGCCTTTTATGTGACAACGGCCACCAGAGCAGGAAAGTGAATACAAAATTTGTCTGAAATTTTAATGGCTCTCTACACTAATAGCTGCTAATTTGCAGGAGTACACTTTGAAGTCATCTAATGATGATCAGTGGTTTTTATGGTTCTAAATCAGGGAAGGGTCTGGTTTTTTGTTTTTTGTTTTTTCATTTGCCAGTATCACCATTATATATAAACATGGTCCTGCCTAATCATATTTGCCATCATTTGCATTGATTTATTACCACCACCACCACTCCCTGCCCAGTTCTAACATACTTTCATTTCTGGTTTTTATTAGACCTTGCACACTGCCAGTCAAACCTTGTGGAACTTAGCAAACTCCTGCAAAATTTGGAAATACTTCAAAGAACTCAGTCAGCACCCAACTTTACTGACATGCAGGTAAACGTATGACTGCTGCTGGTAAAGGACGTTAAGATATTAACTTAGAATTTTTACTAGATTGTTCTATGAAAATTTAAGGTAACATTTAAAGGGAAATAACTACAATACAGATTAGTTTCTGTTCTGAAGTTACTCTTAATATTTTTGAATCTTGGTGTCAATTATGTTGAGATGTCTAATTTGAAATATTTTACATTTAAATACAAACAAACTAGAAGAAATAAAAATCTGAATCATTCTTCCATATTTGTGTTCCATTAGAAATGATAGCTTTGAAGGTATAACTTAGATGCTCTCAGAGTTATTACCATCTTTTCATGTAGAAAAAAAATGCCTGAGACCTCTAATCCTGCTTCATTTTGTGTAGCAAAAAAATATATTTTATGATTAAGTTCTTGTCTTTGCTTTTAATGCCCACTACACATCGGAAGATACCTTCCTCTCCTGCTGGTTTGCTTTAGGTGTCTGACAACAGTCTTGACTAACTTGCTCTGCTCTCTCTGTCTATGCCTGTGTTGTCTGTGTGAACTTAATAATACTTTTAACTGTTTGCTTTTAACTGTTTGTGTAATGTAGGCTAACTGTGTAGATATTTCAAAGAAAGACAAGCGGGTCACAAGAAGATGGAGAACAAAAAGTGTCAGCAAAGATACAAAAATACAACTGCAGGTACAGACTTTACTTTTCCTTCACTCATATTTTCCATACTTTTATAGTCTTTATATATCAGTTCATAGACGTTAAAAAGTTTACAGCAGCTTAACTGCTTTAAAGCCCGTGCTTTTCAGATTGAGTTATATTATCTACAATAGAGGGAATTCTACTCTTTTTACTCTGACCTAAGTAAAAAGAATTTAAAATAAAAGTAAAAATTATTTAATATGGCTGCACAGTTGCAACTTTATTCTCAATTATGGACTTAGAACCATTAAAATATTTTTTAACACAAAATCACTTTAAAAATCTCAACTAAAGATCCAATGGGTTGTAATAAACATTCATTGCTATATACTAGATCTTAAAAGAGCCAGCTTTGTCCAAATTTTTATCTGTCAATACAAGAGTGAGGGCTGCAATAGATTGGAAATCAATAAACCTGGGGGTCTAGCCTAATCACCGTGATCTCCTGGCAGCATAATTTCATGCATTTCTCTGAAATTTTCTGGGCTTCTTTTTGCTCCTGGGTAAAGTAAAGGATTTCATGGAATGACCTCTGAATTCCCTTTCAACTCTAAAAATTCAAAATTCTACAAAAATAGATAATATTTGGCCACCAACAATCACTTTTAAAATCTGAACTGAAGTCTTAATGGCTCATGATAAATTTACTTGAAATTTATTTTCAATAAGTTATTTATTTGAAATGAATAATTTTAAATTTTAAAATACGATCCTATTTTATCGTAATGGTACTAAACATGGTAAATGGCCTAAAACCTCTTATGCCATAAATCACATTATTTTTAGACCTTTAAACTGGAATCTCTGTTTCTCTGATCCTAGCTATATATTATAAAGGACTCTTGTTCTGCACAATCAAAATTCAATTTATGACTTTGCTTTTCTTTCTGTTGCACTATTAATCAATTTACGTTATAATACAAAGGTAAAGGGAACTGCTTTTCAGAATTCTTCAGTGTCTTCTAAATAAATAACAATAATTCTTCTTTAATTCTGAGTGTATTGGTAACACTTTGTCGTAATTCTGAATGTGTAAATAACAAACTGTTGCTTTGCTTGCTAATCTGATATATTTGAAAACAAATTTTCATAAGCACTAAAAATGTATGATTTACTTAGAATGTCCACATTCTCTGAACACAATTTTTTGTGTTCCTTTGTTCAATATGTTTTCCCCTCTATTCAGAAAATTAATACTGTAGAGACAAATGTGCCAAATGACTTCACAAGAAAATTACCTAAAATTGCTTTTGGCAGTTTCATTTGTTTTCAACACATGATTGTCTAGTTTTGTGACTGCTTTTTTTAAAATTGTGGTGTCTATGGTTATTAGCCAGGAAAAAGAACCATTATAAAAAAATTATTGAAAAATGCCAGCACCATATGTATATATTTGTATACATTTGCGATTAGATATTATTTCAATCTTGTTTTTATAAGGTTTGCCATTGAACAGATTTCCTTCAAAGCTGGTATCTCTATTGGTTCTCAGTGCATCTGAATGCAATGCCACCGGCCACCCTGCTGTGGCCAGGAGGCCACCACAGTCCCCATATCACTGTTTTCCTGAAGAAAGTAGAATGAACTCTGAATAGCCCACATAGTCACAGCTGTGCTTTTCAGTGTGCAGAAAGTATATGAAGATTTTTTTAAGTTATCAGAAGAAATTATTCAAAAAGCAGGCAAATATTCTTCATTCATGCACCTGCAACATTCTTGAGTAGCTTATTTGTTTTTAAGTTTTTATTTATGCTGTTTTGCTTTGTTTTTGTTTTGCCAAAAGAGTAACAAAATGACCCTTGTGATTCTGTTTTAATTATTTTTGAGGGAAATTGAAATCAGCTCATTCTCATACTCAGAGAAAACTTTAAACTATCAAAAGTAGGAATTTAATTGCACCTCCCAGTGGAAATAAATAGACTTGGGGCTGGCACTAAGCTATTAATTATTCCCAGAGAAAATCTACTTGCCCGTGGACTGACTGATAAAACAAAAGGTATGGGGGGGAATGCTGCAGAATTTGGTACCATCCCTGGACCTTTTCTGTTCACCCAAACCAATAGGTCTTCCAGGATCCCTTAGGCTGGAAACCATAAAATCAGCCAGAAATGACTATGGCCAATATTATGCCATTACTCATTAATATTTTACTTACAGAAAGACATAACATTTATTTTTAATGTAGTGAATTACCCACCACCTCCTTCCACCCTAACATACAGGACTTTTCCTCCTGTTTGAAGTATTTCTTGACCGTGGGAATTCCATCTGATGGTGCCACGCACTTGTTTTGAGCCCATAAGCATCTTGCTCCTTGAACTACTTTCTCTGATGGTCATTGTTGCAGCCAACTTGAGAGGCTTTGTAGTGAGTGGCTCATTTTTCATCCCCTCTGTTGTTTGAATACCAGCCATTTGTGAATGAACCTAGACTGTCTGGTGGTGGTGGTGGTCATCGTTACTGCTGTTGTTGTTATTGGTGTTTTCGCTGAATTTCTCATTCAGCATTCTGTAGCAGTTTTCATTTTGAAATAATTATAAAACAGGTCATTTAAAAATTGGCCTCAGGAAAGTAAAAGCGAACATGTTATACTGGGTGTCTGATTGCCTGTTTTTTGCATAGGTTGTTAGATTGTGCTGTTGATTCGGATGTGAAGGTTATGACCATATTTCCACTAGGAGCCATTGGGAAGCTAGCCTCAGAGTCCATTGTATAACACACTGAAGGCAAGGTTTGTCCTAGACGGCTCTGTGGAGATTACCTTTTAGAGAAAGGACTTCTTGTCTCCTAAACTTCAAATTTTTCTGGTTCTAATAAAAATCTCAGTATTACCCTTGTACGGTAACAGTTGGGTTGTGTTTTAAATGCAGTAGAGGAAGGCAAGAACAGAATGTTTTTCAAGGGTTGCTGTAAAAGGGAGCTGCCAATTTCCTGTGTTGCTGATAGTGTGAGTTACATACTAGATTCCTGGTTGTTGGAGAGAAGGAGGGATAGTAGGAAGTACGGAGTAGCAGATAAGTGACGTGATGTCATTCATGTGTAGCCATCCTAGATCTCACAGATGCTCAGATTACACTGTAAGCTCAAAATAAGTTCTTTTTTACTACATTAAGCATACAAGGATTTTGTATCGAAATTTTTCTGGTGGAAAACAGATGATGTATGTACATACCATATGTACACAGATGATATAAGACAATGGAAGAGAAATGTGATTGTAATTTGGCAGATATAAAGAGAATTGGAAATACAGGAATTTCTGTTGTTCCAAAAAGACTAAAGCAGTCTTGCAGGCTTTTTTTCTATCTGGGCTGCTTCATGACTCTTAAATCTAGTACGTCTCAGTTAACTGGCATTAAAATTATTGCTCACACCCTGAAGGGCCAGGATCTGTCAAACGTAGGCAGAGTTGAGAGGTTAGAAGGAAATGTCATTAGTCCTTAATGCTGTCCACCAGGAACAGAAGAAAGGCAAGAAAGCTCGGGTTCTTCCACTGGTTTATGTGCAGGTGCACATCCCCGAATGAAGCCTGTGCTTTCAGGTTTTCATCACTGATTTTTGTAGGCATGGTCCCCACACACTGAGAAAATTGAAAATTTTTTTTCTTATGCTATGGGCATCCTCTTGGAAAATTCTTCAACCCGAAAATCCCAACACCTCTCGTCATGTAGAATCTCAGATTGTCCGAGGAGGGGAATAAATGGGCGGGGGCATTGAAGATCCCTGCTATCCCTTCCCCTTACTTTTCCCTCCCGTCAAGAAACAAAAAAAATTCTGCCCAGCCAACAGGAAGCTCCCATGACAACCTGTTCATTTCCACCTTTCCACCTTATTTATTTAATTGCTTTTCCCTGAACTTATTTTTTTTTAATTTGCTTCCATTTATTGAGCGCCTTTGACTTCATCTACCGCGCCATGGCGTGGATCCAGCAACATGCAGCTCTATTTCACCTGGAGACCGCAGGCTAGTCGCCAGTTCATACTTGCCCGTCCCCGGTGGGGTGGGGGCGCCCCAGCCAGCGGGCGCTCTGCCGGGGGCAGGGTGCCCTTCGCAGCCCGCGTGCCCCTTGGGGCCCTTGGCAGGGCTGAGGTTTAGGAAACGTCCGCGTCCGCTGAAGACTGCCCTCTCCCGTGCCTGGCGACCTCGCCCCCCTCTCTCTGCCTCACCCCTGTTTTTTCCTCCCCGCTCTCGCGGTCAGGAAGGGCCGCCTGCGAAGGGCCAGTTCGGCTCCACCCGGCGCCGGCAGAGGCTCGCGGCGGCAGTGGCTACAACAGTGAGTGCATTTCCGTCTCGAGGGGACTTTGGTGCCCGTGAGCGGCTGCGCGCGCGCCACCTCCTCTGCTCTGCGCGCACCTGCGTGACAGCGTGAGCCGCGGCCCCCCGTGTTGGCGCAGCTTTCGCATGTTCGCTGGCTTCCTTTGCATGGCCCGAGTGGACGTGGGTGTTGGTGTGCGTGATGGAAAACTGTTCCGCAGTCCGGTTCTCTGCTTCTGCTGTCAGCGTCAGAAGCAAGTTCAAGTCAAGGGTGCAGAACTGGGCGCAGCTCCTTGTGGTGTGGGGTTTCCTCAAGTGATACTGTTTTTCGCTTGTTGTTTGTTTGCTGTACTGACGTTGGGACCTTCGCTAACCGATTTTTGTTTTTCTAAGAAAAGTCATGTTACTACAGACATAAATTGTGCTTTTTTTGGAGCAATGTGACCATTTGAACAGGATGTGAGAATAAAGAAATGAGAGGGTAAGAAGAGGTGGGTTTTGATGTCATCTCTGCACGCTGCACGAGGCACAGTTAGCAAGGGAAAGTTGTTTTCTGGGGTGAATATTGAGCTGAAAATCAGAAAATACAATCTGGGAAGCAGAACAACCACAAAGTTAAATGATGTTTAATCCATATCTAGAAGTGGGCTTGGCTTTTCTTAAAGAGAGAAAAGAGAATGTATATTAGTAGAATAGAGGAAGTATTGAGGTAGTTAGGGCAAACTGCAAATTTAAAATGGAGTGGAAGGTGTGTAGAACAGAGAACTGTCCATGTGGAACATAAAATAGAACATGCCAATACGAAAACCCTTTCTGAATAAGAGTAAATCAATATTTGTTAAATCATGATATCCTTTCCACTGTTTAAATAGAATACTGAGCTCATACCAATCATGGATGTTAGTTTTTTGACTATTAGATAATATTCCCTGAATTAATAATAGTTTTACTCTTGCTAGTGGTGGAGTATATTTTAACATTCAAGTTGCTGCAAAATATGAAAAGGCTGCATTGTAGGAGAATGGATACTGGTGGGAGGATTGATTGGCAACTGACTCTGGCATTTCATTGAGGTGCTTGGCTGGATTGTTTGAGAAACAGAATTGCTTTTGATTATGAAATGAACTAGTGACTTGGAATTTATTAGGAGACTGACTCTTAAACTCATATTTTCTGAATATTAGAACAAATTATTGAAATAGATTTCATGGTTAATGTCTATCTTCTGCATATCCTTAATGCAGATGAATAAAGTATGTGACACCTACATCGTAACCAATTCTAACAGTAGATACATGTATAATCAGTTAAATAATTCTTAAGTGGAATCTTTCACTTACAAAATTAAGGAATCAAGTGATATTAGAGAACAGTAACTCAGTGTGGAAAGGAAAATACTAATGTTTCCTTAAATGTTTCCTTCTAAGATGGCATGTAGGGAAGTAAGTGTTTCTACTGTGTTCATTTTTTTCCTTCAAATTATAAAAGAAAGTTTACTCAGAAAGTTACAGAGGTAGTAGAAGTGAGCCAGCTGGGCTGCATAGGCTGAGGAAACAAGTTACAGAGACAGAAGGGCCCTTGGAACTGAGGAGAGGGGAAGGGAAAGGCACAGGCCTGCTCCCAGAAAATAGAGTGTGTCCTCTGTGTTCATTTTTTAATTACAGATACATAGAGTGCGTATAATAAAACTGGGGTTAGAACCTATTTGAACAGAATGGCTTTACATTTAAAATAATTGAGAATAGAAGAGAAAAAAGCTTTTAAAATAGGAAGGTATTGAATGCCTACCTCCCAGGGTGGCTGTGACCATAGATGTTAAGAATAACTTACATGTATCTAATGAAGGTTTTTGGTACAAACGTTGTAGACAACTGTAGACAACTCCCACTCCAGCCATCACTAACAGAGAACAGTTTTTTAATCCCATAATACCTAGACTGATGAATAAAAAACTAAGTCCCTGGACTGAAGAGATACTCAATTAGAGTTAGATTAATACATTTCATTTTGTATTCTCAATTTCATTTCATGAATTCTCCTATTAAATGGCCCATCCCATATACTTCTTTTAACAAAAAGCATGATATCAATATAAACATTTTCAGTAGGAAGCATATAAAAATTAGTTTCAGCATCCCAGGGGCCTGATTGCAGTTTGAAGGCCACATTCCAAGTCTCTATCCCTGTGGGTTATATACAAACCCACTTTGACTGGTTTCATTGCCAATTTAAACTTCCATGATGTCAAAATATAAATTTATAACTTACATTTTTCTTCTGAGAATCTGATTCCAAATTTTAGCAGAGAGGCCGTTATCTCAGGGACGAACCTGGGTCCTTTCTGGACTCCCTGGGCCTCAGCTGGCCCATGGCTCCCCTCGCAGCCTCGCCCCAGCTCTCACAGCCACGTCCCTGCCCACAAAGGGAAGAGACCTCTCTCCAGTGCCAGGCCGGTCCTTGGAGTGTTGAAGGCACCCGAGTGCAGATAAAACCCTTTTCCTTGATCAGCACATTACATTACCATCACCAAATACTCACCTTCCTTTTTCCTAATGCTTTTCTAGTTCTTTTTATTGAGAAACCATATCCTTAAATCTGAAACTTCTGACCTACCCATTTCCTCGAGTTACAGCCTCTCCCCATGACCTTCTGATCTCCACCACCCTTCCCGTGGATGTTCTGTGTCCCTCCTAGAGGGCTGTGGGCTGACTGCTCTTTCTAGATTTAGCATCACCACAGTCAAGGTCAGAAGTTTCCTTTATCTACCTTTAAATATTTGTCCATATAAATACCATTCCTTTATGAGCATCCCCAAAAGATCTCAGTCATTGTTTTCACAAAGCGATCTGGGCAGGATTCCAGCAAAGTATTAAACCTAAGGACTCCATGTTCTCAGACAGCTGATCTGCCGCTGTGTGCGTGTGCATGTGTGTCCTTATGCATATGCGTGTCTTCTGTGGACAGCCAAGATTCTGAGCTTGATGAGATAAACGAGCTGTTAACATCTCCCAGCCCAGGGTAGCCAAGGTCCCCATGGAGGACAAGATAGAGTTACTTTGACAGCTCCAGATACCAGATGATTTGGATAACATACATTAGCATGCTTAGCGTAGCTGAATTTAGGGGGAAGGCTTCATGCTCACTTCCTTCCCGAGGAAGCCTTGGTATCTTTTGAGATACATAACTCCCTGCCAGGGCAAAGTTATATCCAGAGGACCCTTTGTCCAGTCTCAGCGGCCCTTATCCAGATCCACAAGCTACAACTTGGGTGAGATTTTTTTGGTTCCTTCCAACTCTTCTGTCTAGCCCCTGTAGCCACCATGCACACACACATTTTCTCTTTTTCTGTCAGGACATTTAAAGCAAATTTTTAAAAATGAAAAAGAAAGGATGGATGTGGTTCTAACATACATAAACACCAGACAAGATACTGGTTTCTTCCTCCCACAGCATATTTGCTGTTAGAGGATGTGAATAATGCTATCATTTATATAAAATTCAGCTTGCAAAGGAGTCTAAGAGTCTGGCTCTTGAGGATAATTGAATGAACATCTGTGCAGTAAGAATTAGGGGAGGTTACTTATTTACAAGAGGAATTGGTATTCTCATTTTCTAAGAATGTTTGGCCGACAGCATTTGTAATGGTCAAGTTGAACGCTCTAGGAGAGGGACAGGTACTTTGCCTCTACCAGTCACAAGCCTCGCCCAGATCCAGCCTGGACACGGAAGCACCTCTAGCCATTTGGAAAAATCTATAGTAATATGACTTTTTTTTACTGAATGCTTTTCTTTATTGGCCAGTCAATAAGCCACATTCATACATGTAACAGCATTGTGTGTAACGTACAAAGATAAACTACAGTAATTTATATAATATATATTTCATTTACAAATATATTTTGATAAATCAATTTCAAATTTAATTGCGAGTCTCTTCAAGCCATTACATGTACTACTAAGCTTATTTGTGTTTTATCTACTGGCTATGGGACAAGTGAATTTTCCTGTATATGCGCCTCTTGAATTTTTACCTGTTCAGTAAGCTCAGAAAGAAGTGAGCAAAAAAAAATCCTCTGACACAAGTACCCAGACTTTGTAAGGGAAGGACAACTACGTCACAGTTTAATGTTTTCTGCCAGTAATGTTTTAGATACAGCTGTGAGTTCAGAGCTGAGGCTTATCTGCGACTGTGCCTTTTCTTGCCGTCACTCTGGAGTCACCTTGCCCTGTACCAGTGGAAAGCCAGTGAGTCGATAGCGGTCCCACACCCACTATGGGAAATGAGACTCCTTCCCACCCCGACCACCTGCAAAGTTAATGAGCACTGAGTGCTCCGCGCGTGTCACAGAGAGGAATCTGTTATTTAATAGGAAGAAAGGAAGAGATCGTTTCCGTGGATGAGAGTGAGGAGCAGTGCACTGTTGCTCTTTAATAATTCGTATTTCCCCTTTCAGGTTCCTTTTAGTGCTACCATGTCACCGGTTCGCTTGCATTCCTCCAACCCCAACCTTTGTGCGGATATTGAGTTTCAGACTCCCCCTAGCCACCTCAGCGACCCTCTGGAAAGTTCAACTGATTATACAAAACTTCAAGAAGAATTCTGCCTAATCGCACAGAAAGGTAACACCGCGCCGAACGTGCCCTTTCGGGAAGCACTCTTCTGAGGAGAGGTTGCGTTTGCTCGTTTACCCCCTTCTAGGTGCCACAGAGAAAGGTGGGATGGGTTCGTGCTGGTCGGAGTTCTTTATACAGAATGCGGTAGGATGTGATGCCTGCTTCTTGGGCCAACACACATCATAGGTTTACTGTTTTGACTGAATAAAGAAAGTGTCATGGGGGTGGGGGGTGGGGAAAGAAGAAAGGCAAAAAGAGTTACCCTAGGCAGGCCAGCAGACACCACTACTCAGCTTTTTTTCTTTTTGTATCTTCTAGTTATCATTTAATACATCATTGTGGGTTATCCTTAGCAAGGGAAAAAAAGAAATAGACTCTGTTCGATCCTTTCTCTTTTTTATTAAACAATGCTCATTGATTTTACTGCATAGTTTGTGGGTCAGGGATTCAGGCAGGTCTCAGCTAGGCAGTTCTGTGCCACTTGGCTTTGACTGAGCTCGCTCGGTGCTGTTCCCCTGGAGGCTGGGCTGAAAGGTCCAAGGTGGCTTCACCTGTGTGCTTGGCACTTTGGCTGGGCATCTGGAAGGCTGCACACAACTGTGTCCCCTCTCCCTCATTTCATGGCAGCTCAGGACTCCAAGCAAATGGAGGGGCCTGGAATGCAAGCTGCAGGTCCTGTTCAAGGCCAGCCACTCTACTGGTCAGAGCTTCCCAAACCAGTATAGTTTTGAAGGGAGGGACAATAGACCCCACGTTGGAGTCTTTTTTTTTTTGAATTTATTTTTATTGTTGAAAGTATTACAGGTGTCCCGTTTCCCCCCCCCCAATTGACCCCCTCCACTTCGCTCCC